ATGAGGGCTACGACGCACTTGCAGCGGACATCGATGAGTTCGAGGGAGTGATTGACGACGTGGACCCGGAAGAGATCAGCCAGGAGGAGTGCGACACCCTGGCGACGGAGGCTCAACGTCTTGGCTGGAAAGCTGGACGGCGCAACCACAAGCCCAACTACAAGCAGGCCCGGGAGCGGCTTGCTCAGAGCAAGTCGAATAGAGGCTGGAAAGCCAACATCAACAAGCAGGGCTCCATCAAGATGGACAGCAAAGAGGCTGATGACAAGCTGAAGCAGATCAAGGCGCGCACGAAGTGCAACTTGTGCCACAAGAAGGGTCACTGGAAGGGTGACCCCGAGTGCGAAAAGACGAGGTCACCAGCGAGTGGATCCAGTACGCTACAACGTGGAGGACGAGGAGGCGGACGTGGAGGACGAGGCTTTCACGGACGACCTGGAGGTTTTCTACGACGAGCTGGATTCGCAATGGCGACCGCGTTCAAGCTGCTGATGGCGGACAGCTCGATGGACATGACCGCCATACAGATTGTCAGCGACCAGCTGGCAAGCATAGACATGGCGATGGAGGAGATCACGAGTCTGACGAAGGTGAGAATCGACACCGAGGAGCAGATCGTGAACACCGACGCGGTATCAGCAGCAGGAGACCAGCCGAACTTCCAAGAGAGGATCGACCAGGCACACGAACCATACAGAGTACCTGGATAGCATCAAGCACACGAAACTGACGAACCCCTGAGCACTCCAGTGAGCTGAACGAGCAAACCGACACCAGGGACGTGGTCGAGGACGGAGCCCAGCAGACCAAGTACAGACTACCTGGAGGAAGACAACACAGAGGCCGACCTACAAAAGATACGAGATCGTGCAGAGCAGATCGCAGCGCTGTGGGTAAGCTGCGAGTACATGGAAGCGGCCTACAGGGACTATATGGATTTCTGTTTGGACTGGGCCTTACATCGCTTCCAGCAGCTCATGCACATCACCATGGAGATGGCACCGAACGGTCTCAGGAATATGGCCTACGATCTATGCCAAGCAGCCTGGGACAGGACCTCGGAGCTTCGTGACATCGCAAGGAATACCTGCGAGCGCCTACCGATTAGAGTACGACCGACATGGTTGTGGACGCAACGCCGAGCTGGAACCAATTACGCTCCAGAGGGAGTTGGGCGGCAGCAGCCTTGCGAGGAGCTGGAAGAAATTGAAGCCTACGCAGTACGAAAAGGACCTATTCCAGATGGACATGCTGTACTGGACATTGCGTGCCTACGTGGATGTGGAGGTTCAATATCACTGGACGGCTACACAAAGGACGGCAGAGTCACCACACGGATGAGAGGATCATCCGTGCGCTTCCGAGGCGTGAATGATAGCGCCCCGGTCATGGCAGAAGGAGAGCAAGAGGTGACGGCTGGACTTGCTGGAGCTGACGTGAACCTACGCTTCCAGAGGCTGCCGAAGTCAAAGATTCCAATACTGCTGAGCATCCACCAGCTGGAGGAGCTCGACACAGTGATATACATCAAGGATCATAAGGCGGACTTCAAGGCGATCAACAAGTACGGAGTGCCTCTCAACAAGACGGAGAAGGGACACCTGACGATCTCGCTCAAGGAAACGACAAAGACCGAGCCATCAGTCACATCCGACGAGATCGACATCTGGAATGCGGAGGTCCAGGAGATCGATAAGGGCATCCTACGACGGAAGCAGAGGAAGCATATCGAGATGTGGGAGAAGGAGATTCAGGACAAGCTGGACCAGTGCAAACAAATCGTGGACACGCTGAAGGCGGACCCGGAGGAGAAGCGGCCCATCATCTGCGAGCTCTACGCAGGTGGCATGGCAGCCACATCAGAAGCTCAGCAGCGGCGGCATCCAGTGACGAGGCCGAGGGACATCCTGATCGGGGACGACCTGCTGGACGCGAAGTCGCAGAAGACCGTCCTGAAGCAGCTGAACGAGGATGACCCCTGCATGACCATTGTGGGTTTCCCCTGCGACCCGTTCACGAACATATCCCACATGTTTCCGAAGGACACGAAGCTGCGCAAGTTGGCGATCGGCATGAAGCACCTGCAGCTTGTCAAGAAGATCTGGCTCAACTGCAAGCGCCGAGGAGCTCAGCGCCGAGGAGCTCATATGCTACTGGAAAACCCGTTGACGTCAAGAGCCTGGCAGCTTATGCCATGGCTGGGATCAGAGTTCGTGAGCGCGATGATGCACCAGTGCGCTGAGGGCAACAACCTTGTGGACTGCATGGGCGATCCAGTCAAGAATCCGACGAGGTTCCTGACGACGGCCATCATGCTCGGCAAGAAGCTCAACAGCATCAGGTGTGCTGAGCAGCATGTACACACGAGCGTGATCAATAGGCCGAAGGGAACAGCATCGAGCCTTGGGAACTGGGCCAAGGAGCTGGCCAAGACGATCTTGGACGGCATCGAGGATCATAGGGACCTCGAGAAACAGCATGGTGGCTACGCCCGCTACGC